CCCCTGACCAATCGCATCACACCCACCTTGGCTGGCCTGGTGCCAGTGGGTGTCATAGTGTGGTCGTCTGGAAGGTTGTCCAGACAGTTGTTCTACTGTTTGGTCATTTGCTCGATTTGTATATTACGCTTTTATTATCGTAGATGTTAATGTGCACAACCACCATAGACCATATTTCAGTTGAGTTGTACAGGAGTCTCCTTTATAACCAAAGAGCCTAATAGCTTATAATTCATAATGAAGGGCACCTGAAAGTCATAATGTAATATTATAATATTTAGTTAAAATACAAAACAGAAATATATGTTTCTAGATGGATAATCATCAAACTGATAAGTGTTTAATTATGGGGAGGAGATTAATTAAAATTGGAAGTGTGATTAAAGTATATTAAAATAAACTAAGTAGCCCTGGCTGGTGTGCTCAGCGGTTAGGGCATTGACACAAGCACCAAAAGGTCTCGGGTTCGATTCCTGGTCAAGGACATGTACCTGGGATGCAGGTTAGATTCCTAGCCCTCTCACATCAATATTTCTTTCTCTCCCCCTTCCTTCTACTCTTTCTAAAAATCAATGGAAAAAAAAAACTCAGGTGAGGATTAACAAAAAAACAAAAAAAGATGAACTAAGTAATTTATTAATGTGACATTATTTGTGGTAATAGCTACATAAAATATATAATGTCTTTATTTAACAACTAGAGGCCCAGTTCACAAATTCGTGCACTGGTGGGGTCCAGTCAGCCTGCCTTGATGGGGGTCAATCGGGGGTGGGGATGGCTCGGGGGAGGGGCCACAGTTGTTCCAGTCATTCTGGTATTCTGCCATTCAGTCATTGGGCTTTTATTATATAGGATAATCCTGGAGATGTAGCAATATAATAAATTCATTCTTTTCAACTACTGTGTAGTTTTCTTGGTATAGATAGACCACAGTTTATTTAAAATTTCCCTTTCAATGACAGGCTATCTTCAATATCTTGGCTATTAAAAACAATGCCACAATAGACATCTATCTATGCTTTCCTGTGCTCATGTGTATCTATATCTCTATGGTAATACAAAACAGTAGAAGTGCTGGGTCATATAGAATGCACATTTTTTTACTGCTTTGTCTTTTTGTTATTCATTTGTAAAAGCTACTGTGGTATTAGAGATATTTTTCCATGATCTGTCATGGTACTGCAAATATTTTCTCCCAGGTTATTTGTCTTTGGATTTTTGATATGTTTTCTTTATAACTTCTGGATTTTCTTTCATGCTTAAGAAGATAATCAGAGAAACTAAGATGGCGGCAGAGATAAACACCGGGAAGTTAATGCCGCTCACAACAATTGATTAATACCTCAGAGAAACAACACGGACTTCATCCAGAACCACAGGAAGCCTGGCTGACTGTAAACTCTACAACTAGAAGGAAGGAAAGGCACACTGAGACCCGCCCGTCATATGCCTCCCCTCCCCAGCCCCCACCTCCCCGCTTGCTCTCTCTGGCCATTGAGAAGTGAGAGGGCCCTTGGGACAAACGCAAAGGATCCCGCAGGCTTGCTCTGCAGGGGAGGGGACTCAGGACATGAACACGAGGTCCTGACAAAGGAGCGAGGAAAGTTCATTCGTTCTAGCAGACAGGTAGCAACTTCCATCAGAGATCACACGGGGTTCTGCGTGGGGGCCGGTTATACTGTGGAGCAGTGAGGAGTCGCTGCTGCAGCCACTGCTGGCCTGCACGGGCCTTCCTGCAAGGGACAGGGCGCTCCTGGGGCAGGGGGAGGGGGAGGCACATTAGACACAGGAGAGGGGGCACCACAGAGACTAGGGGCCTTGGCACGGGCTGGTGCCAGCCCCCCTCCCCTGGGCATCTCTGTGCAGTCAACCACCTGCACAACCTCACACCAAATCCTTGCAGGGACGCCTCGGGCGAGAGTTCAATCATTGGAAAGTGGTTGTGTCAATCACAGGGGACCTGCCAATAAGCTGCCGGGGTGGTAAATTGGAATGAAGGGGCAGGACTAGGGCGCCTGGCAACTTGAAAGGCTCGGAGAAGTCCAGGCTTTGTGAGGACCTGCTTTGGCCCTGGCGAGCGAGGAGGGATCCAGAGTTCCTGGAGAGGGGCAGGAAGCGGCCCGGACACCGGGGCGGGAGGCAGGCCGGCTGGGCGGGCAGGAAGCCGGGCAGGAGCCTTTGAGGTGGCGGCCGCCTTTGGGGGCTGCGCTGAGTTATCGCAGGATCAGAAACTCGGCTTTTGAAACCAGGCTGGTTTTTACGCTTCTGGCGTTTCTTTGTTTACTTCCTTTCTTGTTCCCCTTTAACATTTAGTACAATTCAAAAATATTTTTCTGTGGTTACTACCCCTAGAGGAGGTATTGTTTTAAACACCACCCTCTCTCTCTGAGCACTGGGGTGAGAGCTAGGTTTTAAAGGGGCAGAGGCCCTCTCCTGAGCACCTCCCCTCCCCTCCCCGGGGCTGGCTAGCAGCAGAAGCGAGGGGGTACCCGGGAGCCTCCCCAGCCATCACCCCCTCCTGGAGGTGTCCGTTCCCCAGCTCCTGCCCCCAGCCCTGGCCCCCTGGCCCCGTGTCCTGGTTCTGCTCTGTAAGGCAGGTCAAGTCCACACAGGTCAGCATCCTCTGTCCACGATGCTCACCCTCACCTTTCATTTGTAAACTGCACATCCAGTGGTTTTGAGAAAAACAACAATCCCCTATTTCCTGGCCAGAATGTGGCCTCATGGGACAAGGTGAGGCCCTGGAGTCAGACGTGAAGTCCCAGGCTCGTTGACACGCGGGGAGACCTGGGACTAGTGGCTGGACCTGCTGGCGTGCCTGCTCCCTGGCACTTACAAGGAGATGGCACCACCACCTCCCGCCGCCTGGTTGTGTGGGGAGATTTAAGCGCAGCAAAGTTGGCTGACCTGCAAAAGACTCTTAATAAAAAGTTTGCTACTTCTTCTGCCCGGCGTGACCTCTTCCCAGGGCAGGGCAGGGCAGGGCAGGGCTCCTCCAGGGGACTGGCCCGTTTGGGGACCTATCTGTTGGGTCCAGTCAAAGGCGCTGAGACACAAACTGGCCTGGGGACAGGAAGCAAAGCGGCCTTAAACAAAAGAAATGGTGACAGCCTGGATCACTGACTGGCCATGGAGGAGGGTGCCCCTGGGGGTGGCTAGGGGGTCCCTGCTGCCTCCATTCAGGAGCTGGGGTCTCCTGGGGGTGGGGAAAGGGCCAGGCCCCGCAGAGCAGACTTGGTGTGCGTCCCAGCCCACCAGGGTGGGCACAAGCCAGGAGCAGCAGAGGGTAGCCCTTCACCAGGTACATTAGACACAGCTTAATGAACTACCTTTCTGAGAACACTTGTGGTTCTTAAAGCAAATCATAGATTTCACACACACACACACACACACACACCACCCAAAAAAAAAAAACAAAAACAAAAAAAAAAAAAGAAGATAATCACATCACAAATTATACATTTTTTCTTACTTCATTTTTATTTCAATATTTTATTTTTAATTTTTTAAACTAAATTTTTATTGATTTTAGAGAGGGAGAGGGAGAGATAGAAACATCAATGATGACAGAATCATTGATCAGCTGCCTCCTGCACACCCAACACTGAGGATCGAGCCCGCAACCCGGGCATGTGGCCTGACCAGAAATAGAACTGTGACCTCCTGGTTCATAGGTTGACATCAATCACTGAGCCACACCAGTCCAGCTGAATTTTGTACTTTTAATAAGCACTCTAGATGTAAGGAGCTACCTTTGTTAAGAGTTCTGTTATACAATGTTGCAATAATGTTATAGACTGAATTTGGTGAATGATCCCTTTCCTATTTCTCTAGAAATAGATTACTGCCAATTTTATGCAGTCAGAAATAAAATACAGTGGGGCCTTGACTTATGAGTTTAATTCGTTCCGTGACGGAGCTCGTTAACTCAAATTATTCTGTCAACTCAGAGCAAAAAATTGGGCCGAGAGACAGCTCGTATCTCGGAAAAACTCATTAGTCGGGACACTCGTAAGTCAAGGCCCCACTGTACTTATATTTATATACATATGTATATACATATATTTTGTAAGACTAAAATATATACACATATCACATATATACACTAAGTATATAACACACATATGTATATATGTACACTAAAAGTATATATTTTATATATATTGATAAATAATATGTTATATATTATATATTAGTCTCACAAAGAATTTTTACAAGTTTCAGCAGGGGAAACGAGAGAGAGAGAGAGAGAGAGAGAGAGAGAGAGAGAGAGAGATTATTCCTTTAGATCTATTTCCTGAATCACTTCGTATAATATACACATGCCCCGAAGACTCTTCTGAATGAGTAAGGCAGGCCTGCCAGGAGCCTTCAGGAAGAGAATATTTCATGAGAAAAGGGAAACAAAACCTTAGTCCTTAGATTTAGAGCAAAAACTCCGTCTACAGCATGCTATCTTTTTCTCAACCTTTTATCAGAGTCTGACCCCCAAAATGGACTCATCATGTCTGACTCCTATGGAGAGGAGGGATTGTGGCACTGAAAAACCAAAAGGGGATGTTTTGCTAACAACAAGTATTCCTAGGACAATCCCCACCTGTGTTAAGTGTCATTATAAAGGAGACTGAGGCTTCAAAAAAACAGAGTGAGGAGTTCAACCCACTGGGGACTCCAGGTAACTCAGTGGGGATTTGGCACTCAGCTCCAGTGCCCCATCGGCAGTGGGGCCAGCAGG